TAAATACAAGAATAAAAGCAATTAAACTGCAAAGGGATGACAGCTAAAATAAGGGCTATGGCTGGGCTTGGTGGTTCATGCCTGTAATCTCAGCAGAAGAGGAGGCAAGAGAATTGCTTGAGCCCAAGAGTTCGAGACCTGCCTAGGTAATATAGCCAGACCTCATCAATATAGAAAAAAAATTAACCAGATGTGGTGTCACACGCCTGTAGTCTGAGCTACTTGGGAGTCTGAGGCAGAAGGATCACCTGAGCCCTGGAGGTCGAGACCGCAGTGAGTCAGGATCATGCCACTGCACTCTAGCCAAAGAGACAGTGAGACGCCAACTCAAAAATAAATAAATAAATAAGGGCCACATATGAAGGACAGCAAAACTGAACTTGGAGGTTGGAAGGAGAAGGCAGGAAAAGGCAGGTAAAGCTAAAACCAGGATGAAGAGGAATTATCCAAGTGGACGTGGGTGGGGAAGGCAGAGAGATTGTTCAGGGCAGAGAGAATGTGGTGCAGTTAAGGAATTCATATGTGGTAAGTTTAGTAAAGGATGAAGCTAGATTGCACAGGACCTTAAAACCTTGTATAAAAGGACAAAACATAAGAAAATATTGAAGGGTTTTATGTATTAGAATGCTACAGTCACCTTCATTTTTAAGAGATCACTGACTACAGGATAGAAAATGAATCGGAGGGAAGTTCTGTGTCTGAAGTCAGAGTGACCTGTGGAGACAGGTTTACACTAATTCAGGAGAAGATGGTAGTGGCCTGGAGCACATCAGGGATCATTGGAATAGAAAGAAGTGGAGGAATTGGCGAGTTTGTAGAAGGTGGAATGCATGACCTTGATTGTAACTAGGAGGTGGTTAAAGTCAGGATCTTGATAAAGGAGTTTGATGGCATCACTTAGAGAAGCCATTATTGTAGTACATTTTGATTTTCTGTCCTTTTCTTTCCAACCACTCACTGAGGGGTCATGATGATAAACCTTGAGAGTTGGTTTGCTTCCCTCCCCTCTTCTCAGTCTTATAAAATCACTTGTCAGTCTGCAGTATCACTTTGTTCCTTTACCAGCAACTCTCTTGTGCTCTCTGACACCCAAATTCCTAACATTCCTCTGTTATTATAGCATTTTGCTCTCAATCAACTGCAAAAGATAGGGAATAATCTGATAAAGGAATCCTGCATTGAAATGTTTACTCAGACACTGGTCCTCTCACTAGCTATTTGCATCTTAATAGAACAGTAGTGCTTGAGACTTAATAGACTTTATCAATTAATCTCTAGTGATGAAATTCCAATCACCATCCACACAAGTAGAAAAAATATTGAAAGAAAATATAGAAGCATTTCTGGTACCCCTTGGATCACACTGGTTTTTGGCTGATTATCCCAATCTGGAAGGCAAAGCAGGCCCACAGAGAAATCAAAGAAATGTGAACAAACCCTGAGTTCCCAGAAAGATTTACTAAATCACAATTTGATAAGCATTAGCTCAGCTGGGGTCACCTGAGTTTCCTAGAAGGTTGACCAGCAACAGTCACTGGCCATACATTTAAGGTAGAAAGTTAAATGCTTTCAAAATAATGAATTTTCTCACTCCAAAATGCAGCCACTTTTTAATTCATCATAGTCTTGTAGCAAGATTACTGATTATGAAGTCCTGAAATGAATAGCCAGGACTGGAGAACGTGTTGGGATCAGTATTTATTTTAATGATTTAGGGATTATTGGCCATTCATTTTCAACTATTTGTAATTGAAGTCATGAAATAATGGAAGTTATCAGAGAAATGCCTCATTCACCCTTGTATAATTTGAACATACTGAAATGGCACATGTAGACTCATAAATCGTTCATGTGCACAAAGGGGTAATATATCACACCAGCCCTCGTTCACTCAGTGTTGGGGGAGAAAAGGCATAGAAATATGAGTTATGGCTTATGACATGGAAGCCCATATCTTCACATCTTACATTTCCAGGAGGCTGTTTTTTAATATAACCTTCATATTATTTATACTAGCTGGTCGTTCATGATAAAAGATACTTTTATCATGAAGCTTTTTATCAAGGTTTTTTGTTATTTATTTATCAAAACATTCACAAGTGTTTCTGACAAAGTCACCTTCAGGGAGTCAAACACTTCATTGTCCTGGGTTTGGAACAGTAGGCCCTGTTGTCAGCACAGTCTGTGTTAAATTAGATGTATAGTCTTTAATACATGAGTCAGAAGTGACAAACATGTTGCAATTATGTTGACTTGCCTATTTGTGGGGGTAGTTTGATGTTTAAAACAAAAACACTATAACTTTCTCCTTCTTATTAAATCTGTAATAAGAAATTTAGCTATTATTTTCAGCCATCACAGAGTGCAGATATTGTTTTATAAAGACAGACAGCTAGCAGGGCTCGGTTGGCTCAGCCTGTAATCCCGCGCTTTAGGAGCCTGAGGTGAGTGAATTGCCTGAGCCTGCGGGTTCAAGACCCACCTGGACAACTTGGCGAGACCTCATCTCCACAATAAATCAAAAATTAGCCGGGTGTGGTAGCACACACCTGTAGTTCCAGCTACTTGGAAGGCTGAGGCGGAAGGATGGCCGGAGCCCAGCAGGTCGAGCCTGTGGTGGCCGGAAGCGGCCACTGCACTCCAGTCTGGGTGACAGAATGAGACTCCAACTCAAAAAAAAAAAAAAAAGGCAGACATCTGCTTTAAAGCATTCGTTTTCTAGAACAAATTTTACCTTTTGCTATTAAAACTATTTTTTACTCCAAGTTTAAATTTGTGTGCCGATTAAAATCTCAATCCACTGGGATTGATACTACACACTATGTGAGTTTGTATTCTAGGATTTTTTTGTTTTAAGGGAATATTCATAAAATTTCACACATGCCTATCAGTTAAATACTCATGAAAAATTATCTATGTTATATGGTTTATATTTAGGTTTAATTCCAGGTATTTGTATTCTCCATTTTGTTTTCAAGATCTTCTAAATTTTTGGTACTCAGTGTGGGACCAGTACACTGAACCAGTATTGTCAACATCTCTTGGAAGCCTGTTAGAAATGTAACTTCCCAGGTCCCACTCTGCAGCCCACTCCACCAATCCCCGCTACACAATCAGAAATTGCATTTTCACAAGCTCACTAAATAATATGCTAACACTTTAAAGTTTGAAAAGCACTGTTTCTGATTGTTGATAGACAGTAGATGATATTTTGAAGGAGACAAGAATCATTAATAAATCTGAACAGGTTACTTGGGCAGTTAATAATAATAACATTGTATTAACTAGCATTTTTTTAGTACTTCACAGATTCCAGACATCATGCCAGTTTGGTGCTTTTTACATATGTTATCTCATCTGGGCAAAAGAAAAGAGAAGCTTATTTTTCTGAAGATGAAGAAGTGAGCTGTTAAATAGGGAAATTCAGGATTGTTCTAGTTATTTATTGCAGCCTAGAGAAAAGGGCTAAGTATGGAGTGGAAGTGTTCAGATTCAAACAGTTAGAGCTTACAGGTGTAAGGAGTTTAAACTAGACCAGAGAGAAGGAAGACAGGAATGTCCAGGAAAAAAAAAATTACAGTAATAGATTCAGTCAACTAGGGAAGAGTTATTTGAAAGTGACATAATCAAAATGCTGGTAGCACGTTATGATTTTCACTCATCTTCTCACTTTATAACAAAGGTTAAAAAACTGTTTCATGTTCACTTTATTTATAAATATTTATGTAAGTGGTATTATATAATTGTATGTTACTTTGCATGGATCCAAGTCATTGCAATGAATAATTCTTACAACCTTACTATTGGCAGAGGAGTGGGTCTTTTAAAATCTGCATTTATGAGTGTTAATTTTTTTCTTAAATGAACAGGCTTAAGTATAAGAACTGATATAGAAGAATGTAAGTATGTTTGTGAATGAGAGGATTTACAAATTTGATTATGACCTAAGCAGACCACAATAGCTGATAAGACAGACTACAACCAACTAGTCTATTAACAGAATTACTATCACTGGTATGTTTCATAGAATTCTTTTTTAATGACACCCAAAACTTATTCTTGAATGAAGAGTTTCAAAGGATAAAGTTTCTGGAAATATGAGAGAAATAATAGGGCTCTCATTTGCTTTAGTTTTTAGGGACTCAGATCAATCTTATTCTAGTATGAACAACTTTGTTATCTCACAGTTTCTGTAGGTCAGGAGTCCAGGTTTGGCTTAGCTCAAGGACCTCTGGCTCAAGAACTTTCGTGCAGTCAAACTGTTGGCTTGGGTTGTGGTCTCATCTGAGGCTCTGTCAGCTTGGATTCATTTATGTGGCTATTGGCTTATTGGGTTCTTCATCACCTGGGCCTTCCAAAGGGTTGCCTTATGACATGACAGCTAGTTTCCCACCAGGCAAACAATCCAAGATTGCTCAAAGGAAGAAAAAGTAAGCCCAAGATGGAAGCCATGGCCTTTTTATAACCTAATCCTGGAAGTGACATTCTATTTTTCTGCGGTATTCTATTCATTAGAAACATATCAGTAAGTCCAGTCATTCTAAGGGGGAGAGGATCACACAAGAATGTGAATATCAGCAAGTAGGGATCACTGGACACTGACCACATTTTTTCCCTTTCCTCTTGATTTTGTATTTTCTAACTTGTCAATTTTGTACATGTTACTTGTGTAATAAGGAAATAAAAATGTTAAAGGCAATAAAAGTAAAGAGAATATTTTCATATATCAGAAATATTGATTAGAAAAGTCTCTTCTCTTTGGAGCTTTCTTAGTAAGACAATTGAATTGACTGAAGACAGGATTTATTAATGACCTTCCTGGCCACATATTAGATCATGTCATGAATCCAAGTCTGAGATCATTATCCTAATAGGGTTTTGTGTAGTTTGAAAATTGTTCACACTGAAAGATTGAAATAGCAAAACCCCTTGATGGTAATATGAATATATCAATCTTTCTCAGTTGCCTGACAGTCTCCTTCTTGCACTGTTCTTGATAGTATGCTTGAGAGTTCCAACCGGCTTGATGAAGAACACAGGCTGATCGCCAGGTATGCGGCAAGACTGGCAGCAGAATCCTCCTCGTCTGTAAGTAGTTTGAGTGAAAAGATTCATCTGTTGGCCTCTGGGATCTTTGAATTTAATATGCTGTTTTCATTCTCATCATTATAGCTGGTGCCAATTACCAGGACAGATTTTTTATTGTTCATGTGTGTGTTGCTATGCTTGTGCTATCTTGGTGGTAAACTTTCAGTTTAAAAATGGCAGGCTTGAGGAACGAAACCATTCACGGTAGTATGGCTCTGCAGTCAAGCTGGAAACTCCAAAACCCCCTTGCTCAGTGTCAACCTCACATGAGGACCTGAGGAAGGGGGCAGAGACTGGTTGCGATTTCCTTAATGGGCTTAAGGCAGGTACATTTAGTGAAAACACTAGCTTTAAAGTACTTTAGTTGCAAATAACACTTAAAATATACCAGGAGAGACAATAGAGCCGATGTCTTTCTCCATTTGCTTCTGTCTCTGAGACAAAATAACAGTCAATTTGACACCTTTGTTCAGAACTCATCTGTGCTGAACCAAAGGTGAGTTGCAACTGAGCATTGCAGAGGACAATAAGTGACAAGGGTGCAAGAGAGGAAGCTGTCGCCTGCCCCTCTCACATCAGATGCTCAGCTGCCAGAGCCCTTCATGCTGAGCACTTAGCTCATGATCCCGGATAGGAGTTGTATAATGACCCACTCATTAGCCCTGGCACTTATTATCTGCAACATCAGTGGCTATAGCATTGTTAGAAACTATCATGAGCAAGATTTAAGGGATACAAGGCAGCCTAAAAGTGTATTGTGTGGCCCCAAAATCAGACACGGTAAAACAAAGATATAATAGGAATATATGAAGTCTACAATTACATTTTTTTAAATGTGTGGGAAAAAAATGTTTCACCTGTAGTTCCAGCTACTTGGAATACTGAGGCGGAAGCATCTCCTTAGTCCAGCAGGTTGAGGCTGCGGTGGCTGTGAGTGTGCCACTGTACTCCAGCCTGGGCAATAAAGTGAGAATCCAACTCAAAAATAATAATAATTTAAGTCAACTGAGAGTACGGGAGAACTAGATTTAGGGCATGCAGCCCCTTTGGGAGTCACTTAAAAGGAAAGTCAAAACAAGGTTTGTGGGAAAACCTTATTTCCAAGTGTTCCTGCTTTTAGGCATATACCTCTGTAAACAGAGGGTAGGATGAAGATATGGGATTAGCAAAGTGCACTTTTGAGCCTGTGTCCCAGCTGTCCATGACTCCATGAAGAGCACTACTTCTTTGAGTTCAGTCTCCTCATCTGTGAGTAGACAATTATAATTATAATATATATATATATATATATATATATATACACACACACATATATATATCAGTGCTGCCTGTTATTAGAGTTCAGAGAGATAATAAAATGTATAAAAGTGCTACATAAACCTGCAGTCCCAAAATGGTAGCCTGCAGACCAAATTTGTCCCACAGAAATGTTTTGTGGAGTCCCATGTTATTTTCAATTCTTTATCAGATGTCAGTATTTATAAATCAGGTGGTTTTTCTTAACTGGATTTTTTGCTTATCTTAAAAAAACTGACAAGACCAGATACATGTTCCTCATAACAAAAAGCAGCGGGAGAGAGGCACTCGTCTGCCTGCTTTGGACAGGGTAGGCATTCAACACTTTGCCACAATCCCTTACCTTGGCCCTTTATTTGGGTTGCCTCCCTGATCCCTTTCAACATTTGTGTTAGTGATCCCCAGTAAACTGTTAAATCTCTATGCATATGGTTTTATTTCTATGGGCACTAACTTTTCCAGACTCATTCCATTTCTCTTGTGAGAATATTAGTAATGTGTGTTCCTTGCCTACTTGTATCATATATAACTTTTGCAAATCCATCATACGAAAAATACCATCCACACATTAGTGTTAATTCCTTTGGAAATCTCTTCCTAATCAAAAATCAGAACTGTATGGTTAACTAAATAAATCATAATTAGTAAGATGAAAGGCAATGGGTCATTTACTTGGGTCCATTTCTATCTGGATAATTCTTGATAAGTTAATATAAAGAGCAAAGTAATGATTAAAGTCCACTACAGGCTCAAGTAAGTTTCTACCCTTTGTCAATATGTAAAATATATGCAAGAAAAAAAAACTTATGTAGTGAAATAATAAGAAAAACCTGGATCACAGGTCAAAACTGCCATATGCCAGACTTAGCTACAGAAAACTATGTAGGACTGAGATACCACCTAACTCCAGTCAGAACGGCCATGATCAATAACTCAAAAATAACAGATGCTGGAGAGGATGTGGTGAAGAGGGAACACTACTACATTGTTGGTGGGAGTGGAAATCAGTGTGGCGAGTCCTAAAAGCTCTAAAAATCAACCTTCCATATGACCCCGCAATCCTCCTACTGGGAATATACCCTGAAGAACTCAAATCACTCTATACAAAAGATACCTGCACACGTATGTTTATCACAGCATTGTTCACGATAGCAAGATCATGGAACCAACCATGCTGTCCATAGCCAGGCTCGGTGGCTCAGCCTGTAATCCCGCGCCTTTGGGAGGCTGAAGTGAGTGGATTGCCTGAGCCTGCGGGTTCGAGACCCGCCTGGGCAACTTGCCAAGACCTCGTCTCTACAATAAATCAAAAAATCAGCTGGGCGTGATAGCACACACCTGTAATTCCGGCTACTTGGAAGGCTGAGGTGGAAGGATCATCGGAGCCCAGTAGGTCGAGGCTGCAGGGGCCAGGAGCGGCCACTGCACTCCAGTCTAGGCGATAGAGTGAGACTCCAACTCAAAAAAAAAAAATGTGGTACATATATACAATGGAATATTATGCAGCCATAAAAAAGAACAAAATCATGAATTTCACAGCAACCTGGATGGAACTGGAATTTACAATACTGAGTGATCTCTCACAGAAACAAAGATCTGAATATCACATGTACTCACTCATAAGTGGACCTTGAACAACTATCCTAATACTATAAGAAAAGGATTGCCAGTGGCGGGAAACTATGGGAAACACAGGAAGGGGAAGGGAGGTGGGATTAACAATAGTCAATATCTGTCTGGGGATGGGGGGGGCACACCTCCTCAACAAGTGTACCTGCACAATACATATTTGTATACCTAACCCTTAACTGTATCCCACAATTTTAAAATAAAAAATATGCTAATAAAAAAAAGAAAACTATGTAGGATATAAGATGTAGGATCCCAAAATCACTCATTAGCAGCACAAATCATTTCTTTGCTAAAAATCAATGTGAATTAAAAATCATGGAACAGCTTTATGAAAACCAGAGCTTTACCAAACCTAACCTTTCCTACAGTTAAGTTTCTGGACATTAAAAAGCAAGATGAGGCCAGGCTCGGTGGCTCAGCCCGTAATCCTGTGCTTTGGGAGGCTGAGGTGAGTGAATTGCCTGATCCCGTGGGTTCGAGACCCGCCTGGGCAACTTGGCGAGATCTCATCTCTACCATGAATCAAAAATTAGCCGGGTGTGGTAGCATGCACCTGTAGTTCCAGCTACTTGGAAGGCTGAGGCGGAAGGATCGCCAGAGACCAGCAGGTTGAGGCTGTGGTGGCTGGGAGCAGCCACTGCACTCCAGTCGAGGCAACTGAGTGAGACTCCAACTCAAAAAAATAAAAATAAAAAAATAAAAAGCAGGATGAGTTTCTCCATATTTTGGGGCCCAGGCAACAGGAACCATTTCTAAAAGCTTCACATTCTTTGGTAGAAAGATTAGTTGTGATTTTTAAAAATTTGTTTAAAACAATAAAAATTGGCTTGAAAGAATTTCTATAATGTACTGTAGAGCAAAGAAAGCAAGACACAGACACTAGTGTATATAATCTGACTCCATTTTTATGAAGTAATGCCAAATAAACACTCTGCTAAATACATATATATGAATACAGACATATATAAATATAGTAAGATGTGATTTATGAAACATGTGAGTTTGTGAGAATAGAAAAAGCTATGACTGCATATATGCCCAATGTTAAAGCTGATTGCATGACTGAGAATGATTGGCTGTGTGGTGTGAAGGTAGAAGAAATATATATATGTGTGTACATATATATGTATGTGTGTATATATAGAGAGATGAAAAAATATACATATATGAATCCATCTATGTAAAATTACATATGCAAACAAAGAAATGTGTTAAAGCTTATAGACCAAAAGAATCAAAAAAGTAAATCATATTAACTATGATTTTACAACTATGAAATTTTTAATTGCACATTACAGTAATTGAACAGAAATTCTAGAGAAAAAGTTATCTCTAAAGTAAAACATAGTTTAAACCCACCTATGTTGAGACAATAGTTGCAATGGAGATAGCATGACAAGAATGAAATAATTTTCCGAAGACTTCAAGTCAGAAAGCTGAAAAACATCTTCCCTACATCTTATGTATTTTCCTACCCATGAATTCTATTCTGCTTTCCATTGCGTATATGTTCTCCAGATCCACAGAAACATTAGCCCGTGGGAGAGGAATGCCGATTTCATTTTATGTATTTGTTTTTTCTGTTTTGAAGGAAGTCATTTCTTCTTCCTTGTCTGCATGTCTCGAGACTCCTGTCTTCCCAAATACAAAGGTTCACAGTCCCAATATTAAATTGTGTAAACAAATGTTTTACAGCAGCCAACTCAACAGAGAACTGCGCCTGACATCTCCTTCACCATTGATGCAAATAAGCAACAGAGACAGCTGATTGCAGAACTAGAGAACAAGAACAGGTAAGGCTTTGTAGACATGCTGGTGTGTTTGACCAATGCGTGCATTCATTGATAACCTATAGTTGTGCTTTAGGAACTCTTGGCTTTTTACCCTGTGTGCATATTTAAGGGAAGACATTTACAGTTAGTGATGCTGGCTTATGAAAAGCTGGTCTTTAGAGCTATAGAACTTCAGCAGCTTCATGAGAAAACTGTGTGTGTGTGTGTGTGTGTGTGTGTGTGTGTGTGTGTGTGTGTGTGTGTGTGTAAACGCACGCACACAGTTCTGAGATGTCAGCATAATTAGTGTGGTCCCTCTAGACAGTCTCATTTCTCTTTCTCTAACACACTTATTTTTGTTCAGGAGTTGTCTAGTGTAGAAGGGCCCTCCGGGGTGCTTTGTAGACATGCTGGTGTATGTCTAGAAAGTGTCTCTAGTACTGTCTAGTGGTAGGATGGTCACCAGGGAGGATCCCTGGAAGGACCCTAGGCTAAAGAGGCATCTGGAAAGACACCACCATGATCCAGGTGTCCAAACCAAACTTCTCCACCTGCTCCCATCAGCAGGTCCTTCCTCTGTTCAACTCAGATTGTCTCACAGTCTACCTCTACAGCATTCACTCCTAAAACTGTCCACTCCATATCTACCACAACTCAATTCAACCTGTCCTTTTTAAACACAAAATCATATTATGTCATTCCCTGGTCTCAACCCTCTGATGATTTCCCACTGCATTTTCTTTAAAGCCTACTCTTATCATAGCCTACAGGGTCTTACTGGACCTGATTCCTGCCTACCTTTCCAATCTCAGCTCAACTCACTCATCATATCCCAACCTCATGCCACATCCCCTATCTTACAGCCTTTGCATTAATTGTTCTTTTGTTCTAAAAAGTTTTTCCTCTGAGACTCTGCATGGATGATTCCTTCTCAATATTCAAGTTTTGGCTCAAATATCACCTTCTAAAAGACCCTATCTAATCCTCTACCCCAGCAACCACTCCCTAGTATATCCCGTGTATGTGTGTGTGTGTGTGTGTGTGTGTGTGTGTGTGTGTGTGTGTGTGTGTGTGTGTGTGTAAAACTTATCACAATCTGAAATAACCCTATGGTCTGTCTTCCCTGACTGAAATTAAATGAGGACCAGGTTCAGTGACTCATCCTGTAATCCCAGCACTTTAGGAGGCCGAGGCGAGTGGATTGCCTGAGCCCACGGGTTCAAGCTCCACCTGGGCAACTTGGCAAGACCTCATCTCTACAATAAATCAAAAATTAGCCAGGCATGGTAGCACTTGCCTGTTGTTCTGGCTACTTGGAAGGCTGAGGCAGAAGGATCGCCGGAGCCCAGCAGGTCAAGGCTGTGGTGGCCAGGAGCATGCCACTGTACTCCAGTCTGGAAGACAGAGTGAGATTCCAACTCAACTCAAAAAAAAAAAAAAGAGGGCCAGGCGCAGTGACTTAAACCTGTAATCCCATTACTTTGGGAAGCCAAGGCAAGGGGATTGCCTGAGCCCACAAATTCAAGAACAGCCTGGGCAACTTGCAAGACGTCATCTCTACAATAAATCAAAAAATTAGCCGGGTGTGGTAGTGTGTGTCTGTAGTTCTGGCTACTTGGAAGGCTTAGACAGAAGGATTGCCTGAGCCTAGCAGGTCAACGCTGGAGTGGCCATGAGCTTGCCACTGTACTCCAGCCTAGGTGATGGAATGAGACTCCAACTCAAAATAAAAAAATAAAAATAAATGAGAACAGAGGGCATGGCAAATGGCCCTGGGACCCAGAACCATGCCTGACATGTTCTGAAGTTCAGTAAATACATATTGAGTGAGAAAACACTGAATAGCTGAGTTGAATCTCAAACTCAATACTGACTAAGCCCAGCATAGGAACAACTTATACATTCTATATTTCTTAGCACAGCACCAAAATGTTTTCATGTTTAATCTCATTCTTAAATGCTGATGTGACATCTGAGGTCAAATTGACAGAGTAAAGGAGGAGGTTGTGATAATGACTTCATGCCTGTAAAGTTTGACCTCAAAATTTGAGATAAATGATCAAAGTCTTCCTTGGAGCTCTATGGAAAAAAAATATAAAGGAAGGTGCAAGTTCTGTTGGCACATTTTCATATTTTTTTCTAGTAAAAAAAAAAAAACTTTTGGCTTAATTGTCTTAGGACCTGGCTGTCATCATTAGGAAACCACAAATTAGAATAGAAATAGTTTCATAAAAATGACACCACAACTCCGTCGCCTTTGAAACTATTCCTCTACTCTGACCCTGAAGGAGTTGTGCTCACATCAGAGCTGGAATATAAAAAGTATTTGCCACATGTGATTCCTCTCAATTTATCAAAAAATAACGAGGCAAAAATTAAGAAGGGAGAGAGTAGAAGCATAGTGAAGAATTGGAAAAATTAGCCATACCAATTTGAATTTGTTCAGCATAGTTGCAAGTCTGCAAAATTAGCCTGTATTCTATTTTTATAACTTTATTATAGCCACTATGTGCAAATAATTGTGCAAAGTCAGAAAAGGCATTGAGATAAGGAAACCAAGGTTTCAAATTTAAGCAAAGGCACTTGAAACTCCATAGCAGAAACAACCCAAAGAAAGGGAAAACGTCGTTGGGGACGCAGGACCGAGAGGAGACAGCGAGGCATTGGAGATCCTATATGAGCTGAGCTAGTCAGCCCAAGGGCCAGAAGTGAGCAGTGTAAAAGAGCCACTTTGGACCCTCAGGTCTGGGGAATGGCGTGTGAGTACTAATGGAGAATAGAGGAACTGAGTTCAAATGTTGTCTTGACCTTTTTACATCAGTTTGGGCATTGGAAAGGGCATGGGCAGAAAGAAAAAAAAGGCAAAATGAACCAGTTTTAAACTCTTGGCAATTAGATGTAATCCAAAGTTTCAGGGTCTTTAGAATAAAGCATTACTATTGATAACTTTAGCACATGTTAGAATTGAAATGTAAAGAGTCCTTTTTTTAATCAATAAAGTAAACCTATAATCGATGGTGAGAAAGGTTATTCAAAATGACTCAGAATTAGTAGATGTCAGTAAGTCAGTGGGTGCCCCATAATAAAGTCAACAGGAAGAACTAAAGAAGAAAAGAGGAAAGGAGAGATAAAATCAATCATTTTATCTGGAATTAGAAGGCTATACCAACTTGAATCATGAATGAACTATACCAGAGTTCAGGCCATTTTTTCCAGAGAAGGATTTGGCTTTCCATATAGTTCATTTATTCATAGTTTTCTAAGACAGCATTCCTTATCCTCTTCTCCAACCTTAATTCCATTTCTCTAAAGCATAGTATGATTGCTAACCAGCATAGAACCTTCCAGTGGGGAGAGGATCAAAGCAAGGATTAATAACATATGATAGCTTCCAGATGGCAGCAGTAAGAAACCTGGGTCTTTGTTTTGCAATGTTAAGAGAATAATAACAATCTTATATATTTACAGTGCATGTGTACAAATATCACTCTATTTCATCCTCAGTACAACTCTTTGAGGTAGGCAGGGTGACAACAATCATTAAAAAATTAGAGGTTATTTCTATGCTTTTTCCTCAACATGACTCATTTCACCATGTAGGTTGTGTAAGGTAAACTTTATGGAGTAGATAGGCTTTAGTTGGGCGTTTTAAGATGGTGAAATTTGTCAGTGAAAGATGGAAAATAGAATTACAGGTAAAAATGCACGTAGACATTGAGAAAAGTGAGGATGATACTTGTCAGGTTAACACCGATCAGCTGAATTGAAGAGTAACATGGAAATGTCCTCACGTGAGGCTTGTACACCGGGCCAAAGAATTTGAATTTTATCCTGTCATGATGGACAGCAGTGGTCAGGCAAGTGACAGCATGTCTCCATGTTTATGGAAAAATAGTCAGCTCAATAAATATTCAGGTTGCATTTACAAGTGGTTAACTGGAAGCTGGTGCGACGTGATGAGGACCTATGTTAAATAGAGGGCGACAGATAAAAAAAAAGGAACCAAGACAGGAGATGATTAGACAAAATGATAAATATTCCTGGAATGTTAATTTTTAAGATTCTATTACTCATTTCTAATAGAGATCCCAGCTATTCCAACAATAATCTTCCCTCAACTCAGATTTTACTGGCAGCCCTATTTTCTTTCACTCTCTTGTTCTTCCTTCCTCCTATCCATCTGTTCTCACATGAAGAGTAAAAGTCATAGGTTGGGGGTGGGAATAAGGGATAAAATGTCAAGATCAAAGAGGGTCTTTGTGCATTATCAGGGGAACAGGTCAAGCCTGACCTGAGTTCCCTCAAGTTCCAGAATCCCCCAGACATCCCTTCTTAGAAAAGACTAAAGCAAAACTCCACAAGCCCACAAAGACCTTGTCTTGGTTGCAACGTTAACCAGTTCCTCCATTTATCCAGAGTGCTTTGTCTTCCCTTCCAGTCCTCTGCTTGTACTTGCACTTGAGGATGGCACACTCGAGGGGAAATTGGGACTTCTTTTGAGGAAATAGCCGAGGGATATCTGTCTCCATGGGAGTCTGTCAATATTCAATTCCAGGATCAGTAGGAAGTATTATGAATATCCTAATGACCCTGCCTCGGTACCACTCTTATTGCTTGTGCCCTGGACGTTTTGGGATCACACTTTCTAAATGCATATTTTTAAGGATGAGGAAGAAAAAAGAAATGTGAATGAGAAGAGATAGCAAAAAGAGAGCTTCATTTGTCCCTGAATGCTTTTGTGGCCCCTTGAGCTCCCCATCCCTTCTCTGAGGAGCAATTAGTCCATCCTGAGCTCCTCTCTCTAAGCCAGCAGCCTCTTGCTCTCCAGACACCCCAGGGTCATGTCCCAGAAGCTCATCCAGATCACACTCCTGCACCATGGAAACTCACCCATGGGTCCTATGTCTCCAAGGTGCCAGTTAACCCAATAATCAAATCTCTGAGCTTAAGGGGATAATAGAGACCCTCACTTCACTGCAAGATTCTGTCTGCCCAAGTAATTCATGGACATTTCAGCAATTATTTTTAGAAGATAATTCTTCCATATAGCACCCTTGGAGGAACCAGTTGGGGTTAGTTTTAGGAGTAACAGGAGTCTTCCAATTGTATTGTATAAGTCACAGCCTGCCTTGGCTAGATCTGTCAAAGCAAGTACCAAAAGACTGAGGCAGTCTGATATATATGGGCTTTGGGGCTAGCCAGCCTGGGTTCAAATTACAGCTAACAATTTCTTGTTATTGAACTTGTTATGTAACTGGTCTGTGCCTTGATCTCCTCATTCATAGTACAGAATCTATATAATAGAACTGTTGGAGTATTAAATAAAATAAGATTAAAGAAAACAGCACAGTTGCTGGGTACGTGCTAAGCACTCTTTGCACATAATGTATCTTCTTCACTATGTTTTCTTACCAGAGCTGCTGTTCTCTTTTCCTTCCTTGAGCTAAGCAGTTATATCATGATTTTGTCTTTAGACCCAACAAGGATAACTAGCAGGAGTCATCAAATATCTGGATGTTAGCACTGGGGAAATCTTGGAAATCCCTGTGCACTGATTTCAGGGCTGCTTTCTGTAGTCCCTATGCTGAGGTAATGGAGGGCAGGGGTCTAGCAACATAAGGACACACCCACCTTTTCTAAACCAGAGCACCCCCCTCTTAACTGTTTGATGTATTGGATTTCCATGGAAGACTTCTTTGAAAGAACACTTTCCATCATGGGATATCAAGGGGGACAAAAAGAAAAAAAAAGGTTGAAAACTACTGAATTGTAGTCCAAGCTTCTCATCATACCACAGAAGGTGTAATGACTCAATGGTAGGTAACCTCCTGATTTTGGTGTTTGTGAAGCAGGCAGTTGTAAATCAGCCTTTGAAATGAAAAGCAACCCCCGGGCTCCCCAAGTTCACCTTCATTCTTGTGCTTTGTTCCATCTTACTAGCTCTTGTGCATTTTGTTGAGTAGGAGACTGACATCCCCCAACCCCCAAGAATACATGACTTGTCACCTGGCTTAATGGCTTTTGACTCGCTTAGGGACAATTTGCCTTATGCAGGTCGCAAATCTTTTATGGCCAGCTTAATGCTCACACAAATGCAGGGAAGCCCAGGTCCCCAACATCAATAATAGACCCACACGTCACACCCCCAACTGAGGTCACACCAATAGCACTTTATGTCACAGACTCAATTATGGTGAATCATTTTTAAAGCACTTTCCTTCTAAGGCTGCCTTCAGTGAGATCCATTGTTAAAGCTGAGAGTGTTAAGAAGAAGAGAGAAATAATTTTGCCTAACTGGAAATTTCTCAGATAAATTCAGTTAGAAGAATTTCCTTCTTGGTGAGAGATTGAGGTTATTTAGTTTTGTAAAATGAACACCATTTATCCTTATTTTCCTCTCAAAGTACCTCTTACTTGGTAGCTGAAGGTACTTTATGGTGTCAGAGTGGGATCATAAATAATAGAAAGGTACATTTTTATCTCTTAAGCAATGCTCTCTTCAAAACTGAACACATTACCACAGCATTATATTACTTACTAGAGAGATTATTGGGTCCTGGTGATAACACTGGATGACAACATGGAGAACTATCAAGGTTTGGATGCACTGAAGATGAAATCAGTCTTGCCCTCACCCACAATACCCAACGAGTTGCAGCCAAAGCTTCCTAAACACAATGAGTCTGTTGGCTAGTGAGAGTCAGTTCTGTCCCTAAACACATTATGATCCCTTCTATCTTAGTTCTAATGACCCTGATCTGCTCAGGTGTTAGTATTCTGGAAGGTAACTGACCCTGGTTTCTCACCTTCTTCCTCTCTCCCAAGAGAAATCTTACAGGAGATCCAGAGACTTCGGCTAGAGCATGAACAAGCTTCTCAGCCCACACCAGAAAAGGCGCAGCAAAATCCCACCCTGCTGGCAGAACTCCGGCTCCTCAGGTAAGAGAGGCATCTGCCTTATCTCAGAGAATACAGATGTTTGAGATATTTAATAGAGTCTTGCTGTGTCTAGCCAGGACACAGACATGGCCACCATACCTGCTGATGTTTGTTTGTTTGTTTGTTTGTTTGTTTCATACTGCACACCTAATTGCTGAGATTTTGAGGGTCTAGTGAGAAGTTGTTTGTATTTTATTATTTTATTTGCTACAGAGAAAAGGAAACAGTGTTCTTTGGATCAAAAACAACATTTCTCACTGGAAGAAAAAACTTGAACTAAGCTCTTTTTAATTACTTTGCAATATCAATAATGTATTTATGTTATAAATGATCAACAAACAAATAAACAAAGCTAATAAACATCACACATTTTGAAACTTAAAAATCGGTCTGTAATTCATAAAAAGGAGTCTGTTTTTTCTCTAAATCCTAGACTCTAATAGCATTATATACTGATCTTAAAAAATAGACCTCAGCCATTGCTTTGTTGAATTCTGGTGTGTCCATGTGACTCTTTGAGCTATGGCCGCCATGTTTCCTAACTTTGACCCCCTCCCCTACCTTGGGAGGTGAATCTCCTCTCTCTCCCCCTCTCTAATTTACTTTGTAAATAAACTATATTTTCCAATCTAAAAAAAAAATAGGCTTCACACCTTCTTATTATGCAAATGAATTAAAAATTCTCATCTTGTTTAGTCTGTCATCATAAGATATTTGAGTTGGAAGGGACCATAGAAGCCATCTGATTCAACCCCTGAATTTCAGTTCACTTTTTAGAGTCAGAAACTAGAGTAGCAGACCCAGAATAAGGACTATCGTTCCTCTCGCTACCGCAAGATGAAAGTCTTGCTGTGGTCTTCATGTCAGATGGGCTTGGAATATGGCAGGAACTCAAATGTATTTATGTAGCAAACAACACAAAAATAAATCCAAAGACATTGCCTCTTAGAAATGTCATATTGATCTTTCACAAGGCACATTTAGTTAGCAAGTATTACATTCCTTTCAGTTTGGTGCCAAGTACATTCCAGGTATATCTATTACTCTGAGTCATAGTTTTTATAGTAAGTACAGATACCTCTTCTCAGAAACCCTTGTCAGGATTAGTGCCTTTTTCTTCCTCTGTACAAAGAGACTAAATTAAGCAGGTTGTGTATGACTATTTTTGGATTTTACCAAGTCCCTGTTGACTGCAGTCATGGATGCTTTGGGGGGTTCCATCCCAGCTCTGTTCTTTGGATTCATAAACATCTGAGCACTGCAGCATTCCTGACCCAAACTGTGGGCCTATCTGCTCCCTGACTGGGATCCCCTCGACCCCCCCACCAGGCTCATGCACTGGCTGGATGAGTAGACCCACTAGAGTCTTGACTTGTGAAAAGATCTGCCAATCCTGTGGCTTCTAAGCACTGGTTAATATGAAAAGATCACACCATACTTTTGAATAACAAAATAATTTAATGAAAGAAACATAAATTCTTCCTTCTCAACCTATATGAATTCTGATCCTACCTGCAGAGAAATGTTAAAAATCCTAGCATAGGCCAGGCTCACTGGCTCAGCCTGTAATCCTAGTACTTTGGGAGGCCGAGACATGTGGATTGCCTGAGCCCGCAGGTTCGAGAACAGCCAGGGCGATTTGGCAAGACCTCATCTCTACAATAAATCAAAAATTAGCCAGGCGTGGTAGTGCTTGCCTGTCATTCTGGCTACCTGGAAGGCTGAGGTGGAAGGATCGCCGGAGCCCCACAGGTCGACGCGGGGGTGGCCATGAGCTTGCCACTGCCCTCCAACCTGGCCAGTGGAGTAAGACTCCAACTCAACAAAAAAAGGGCAACCCCTTCGGGTCCCCTCCCACTGTGGGAGTTTTTCTGTCCTATCAATAAATCCTGCTTTTAAAAAAAATGCTTGCATATTCTGGCCAGGCACAGTAGCTCACACCTGTAATCCTAACACTTTGGGAGGCAGAAACAAGAGGATTGCCTGAGCCCAAGAGTTCAAGCAGCCTGGGCAACTTGGTGAGACTTCCTCTCTACAATAAATCAAAAATATTAGCCAAGTGTGGTGGCGCACACCTACAGTCCCAGCTACTTGGAAGGCTGAGGTGGAAGGATCACCTGAACCCAGCAGATAGAGGCTGTGGTGGCCACTGCACTCCAACCTGGGTGACAGTGAGACTCCAACTCGAGAAAGAAAAAAAAAAGAGAGAGAGAAATTCTTGCATGTTTTACTATGCTATCACCCAGAAGGGGTGAAAATGAAAAGAAAGAAAAAGTGATATTTCATATCATTATCCTCATCAAAGTCATTTAAAAGTGAACGTCTCCTTGAAAGTGTCTCTTGCCAAATGAGATCATGATGTAGGCCCTCTAAGCTCACAAGTTGGAAGTTAAGTTTAATGTACACAAAAATGTAACTGAATAAAGCAATTTGGAAATAGAGCTGTCCTCTGATTATACATCAGAGAACTTTCTGCCTGAAATCTTCTCTCTACCTCTGGTCTTCCCATGCTCTATTGGAGGGATGATGACTGGTTTTTCATCAGTGTTTTTATCAGTTCCCCTCATTTAGCTTTTGCTTTCAAAAGTATCTGGTTGCCTTTGAATGATACAGTCTGGGAAGGCATTTTGATGTGCCTGACTCACTGATGATGTATTTTCCAACTGGTATATCTTCCCTCCTTGACATTGCCATCTTGGAACAGACTGATAATCCTAACCATCCTTCTGGCTCTAACTTGTGGACATCCCACAACCCCCACTAAGCCCAAAGCTCCACTAAGGAGTCTGGATTGACAGAGACCTTCCGAGCTTTTGGCCCACACGAAGTCCTGAGGCCTGAGACACATCATATTCTGCACGTTTCTTCTGCCTGGAAGAAGAAATCCCCTTTCTTTTTTAAAATTTTTTATTTTAAAGATGTGGGATACAATTCAGGGTTAGGTATACAAATGTCCATTATGCAAGTACCCCTGTTGATGAGGTGTGCCCCCTCTCCCAGCAGTTTTCCACTACTGCCAAACCCTTTCTTATAGTATTATGATAATTATCTCTTTAGATACTTAGCAGACTTTACTCTGTGCTAAGCATTTATGCAATTTTCGGATTTCAAAGAAACCCTGAGATTCCAGGTTAAGAAAACCCACTCATCATGTCAGATTTTCAAAGAGCTCCAAAGCATGGCATCTTGCAAAGTTACCTTGGCCTTAGTTTGCATTGAGCAGTACCCATATGAAGCAGCCACAAAGAACTCTATCTCATAGCTTTCACAGCGTTTTCTCCACTGCATCCTTCATGAACCTCAACAGGAAAAATGTCTTTCAGCTGGGAGGCAGAGCTGGGAGAAAAGAAAGCAGAGCTTTGCTTTTCGTTAACACATACGTTTATACTTAAGAGCACTATGATCTTTCTAAATGATCATGTTTTCCTTTTTACTTTAGTTTCAAGGAAACTGAAAGTCGACTTTACAGCCCAGAACAGGCAATGAATAGGATTAGAAGATAGACCTTTCTTTGTGCCAATCTGACGCTTACTATGCACTAAGCTCTACATACACTGTGCTGTATAATTGCTATAACAAACCTAGAAGATAGACACTATTATTCTACTTCTTTTCTGAATGAGAAGCTGAAATTCACAGAATTTAAGTAAAAGTGTAGACATCATAATCCTTCACATGAAGTGTATGTGTGTGTGTATATATATATGTTTGTGCATAATTTATGTTATGTATAATTTAGAAAATGATGTCTAATTTATGTACATATTTTCTTTTTTTTTTTTTTTTTGAGTTGGAGTCTCACTCTGTCACCCAGACTGGAGTGCAGTGGCCACTCCCGGTCACCGCAGCCTCAACCTGCTGGGCTCCAGCGATCCTTCCGCCTCAGCCTTCCGAGTAGCCGGAATTACAGGCGCGTGCTACCACGCCTGGCTAATTTTTTGATTTATTGTAGAGATGAGGTGTCACCTGCCCAGGCGGGTCTCGAACCCGCGGGCTCAGGCAATCCACTCACCTCAGCCTCCCAAAGGCGTGGGATTACAGGCTGAACCACCGAGCCCGGCTTATGTACATATTTTTTAAGAAAAAATTATTTTGTGTAACCACCCTCAAATTCAGGAAAGTTAACGTTGAGATACATCATTATTTAATATAAAAAATTAAATATCAATATTAAAGAAAGGAGGTTTTAACATGTAAATATTAGAAATAATCTGACAGAATTTCAAAATGAAAGGCATTTCTCTAGAGATGTATACATTTAGTTCTAGGAAAATAAAATCACTTTTTAGTCCTTGTTTTCTCATTCTCCTTGGAATGGTGGAGGCTGTAACACAGATTTGTTATTAGACCCACATTTGATAAACACTAGTGTAACATTGATAGAGAAGATTGAATTAGCTTATTATTAAACAAATATGCTGGACACAGTGACTCACACCTGTAATCCCAGTACTTTGGGAGGCTGAGGCAGGAGAATTGTTTGAGTCCAAGAATTCAAAGCCAGTCTGAAAAATATGGTGAGACCTCTTCTCTACAAAAAATAAAAAAATTAACTGGGCATGGTGGCACATGCCTGTAGTCCCAGCTACTCAGAAGACTGAAGCAAAAGGATCACTTGAGCCTAGAAGGTCGAGTCTGCAGTGAGCCGTGATTATGCCACTGCACTTCAGTCTGGGTAACAGAATGAGACTTTGACTCAAAAAAAAAAAGATATTATTAAATGAAATTTTTAATTGAATTAATGTCATGTTTTTAGGAGTTATAACTGTAAAATAAACATACAAGTAAGATTTTTTTAATGTTGACTAATTATAATTTAATACCAGTTAGTTTCTTGGTATGTGATAACTTTTAAATGCCTTTCTAAGTATTTCTCAACTACAGCATTAGAATTTTATTTTAACCATGTTTCCAAAGTACTCCTATGGACTAAAGACCAAAAATTACAGAGCAGTATCAAGAAAAGAACTGGAAATAAATCAGAAAACATGATCTACTCTTGTAGCAAGGCCTACTGTGGATGTACTTGGAACATCATGTGCAGAAAAGGTTAAAGAAAAACAGCTCATGGGTTTGTCATTGCAAAATATTTTTGAATGGGGCAAGATTTTGGAAAGTAGAATTCTTTGGCCCAGGAAGACAAAGACTAAAATAAGATACTATTATGGCCTATAAAACTATGATGTTTCTGTGGATTCAGAAAAGAGGCCATTGTAAAGGAACTCCAAGGAAGGATTGCTTCAGGAGTAGACCGTAAGTGGCAATAATAGCTAAAAATATAAAGATATTCAAAAAGCACTGAGAGATGTTTATAAAATTTTAAATTCATAATATATTATTTTTTAAAAAGTTTATATGAATGTAACTTAGAAATGTCTAATTTATATCCTTAACCTGTGGTCCCACAAAATAATCTTTCAGTCAGATGAACCATTGTCCTAGCTCACTGTGACTTTTTATATTGTCTCTTATTTCCGAGTTTTTGTTATAGTTCCACTTGATATGGTATCTATGCCATTGAAACTAGCCATACCCATTCATACACTGATACATGCACATTTAAAGCATCCACAGATTTAACTACTAATGTCTGAAAATCAAACACAAATCTTTGGGACAAGGGAAAAATTGTATGTATTATTAACTCAGTAATGATCATTAAAAAATGGCTGTGAAATTGATTTGAAAACTACACAGATACTTCAGAAATGTAAACCATTAACACCCCGTCATACTATTTCCTTTCTTTCCTCCTTCAAAGATATTTTTGGTACCTCTTAGTGTCAACATAAGTGATAGAGTGTAGATTGTCCTTAGCAGTTTTCATTGTTTCTGACAGTTTAATAAAAAAGTCTGTAAAATAACAGAATTAAACATAAATCTTTTTTTTTTTTTCCATTAATCAGTATTTTTTATTATGGTTTTGTGGGGTACAGTTAAGGGTTAGGTGTACAATGACGTTTCATTCAGGCACCCTGTAGATAAGAAGTGTTTTCCCATCCCCCGACAGATATTTGCTACTGTTAATCCCATCCCCCTCCCCCCCATAGTTTCCCAGTACCATCAGTCATTTTCTCATAGTATTGCATTGGGTGTTCAAGGTCCATTATATGAGTGAGAACATGTGATATTCGGATTTTTGTTTTTGTGAGAGGTCACTCAGTATTATAGACTCTAGTTCCATCCAGGTTGCAGCGAAATTCATGATTTTGTTCTTTTTTATGGCTGCATAGTATTCCATCGTGTATATGTACCACATTTTTTTAATCCAGTCCTCTTTTGATGGGCAGCATGGTTGTTTCCAGGTTCTTGCTATTGTGAACAATGCTGCGATAAACATACGTGTGCAGGTATCTTTTTTATAGAGTGATTTGTGTTCTTCAGGGTATATTCCCAGTAGGGGGATTGCAGGGTCATATGGAAGGTCAATTTTTAGAGCTTTTAGGAATCGCCACACTGCTTTCCACAGAGGTTGCACTAGTTTACACTCCCACCAACAGTGTAGAAGTGTTCCCTTTTCACCACACCCTCTCCAGCAGCTGTTATTTTTTGAGTTGTTGATAATTGCCATTCTGACTGGAGTTAGGTGGTATCTCAGTGTGGTTTTGATTTGCATCTCCCTGATGATTAGTGAGGTTGAGCATTTCTTCATGTGTTTGTTGGCTGCTCGAATGTCTTCTTTTGTGAAGTGTCTGTTCATGTCTTTTGCCCATTTTATAATGGGGTTGTTTGTTTTCTTCTTTTCAGTACGCTTCAGTTCCTTGTAGATCCAGGATGTTAAGCCTTTGTCATAAACATAAATCTTATATATCATTTTCAATTGTAGAACAATTATATAGGAATTCCTTTATTGTAACTTTCTATGAAACCAAACCCAAACTAAAACATTTAGATTATCTATATACTATTAATATTTCACCTCTGAAAGACATCTTACTATGTGCTGAAGATAGAAGAGACTTAAAATGGACTTTTCTAAATTAGATTTCCAAAAACCAAGGTAATCAATATTGTCTTAGAATCTATAAAAGAGTTCTTGGAAAATCTGTAGGATTGGCATTTTTCAGTGACAATTTTATTTTTGTTTGTTGTCTCAGGGAAACCCAAGGAACAGCACAGGGCCCACTACATAGTAAGCATTCAGAAAATATTTCACTGGATGGTTAATTAATTCAGGGTATAAGGGTGGAAATGTATAAAATGTTTTTAATTCTGTTTAAGCATAGCATGACTTCTAACAAATAAAAGGATGCCTCAAGCTGTAATTGTTCATTCGTTTGACAATGGTTCCCTACCCAGTATCCATTTCAGACACCTAGAAATGCCCTTTTTCTGATAATCCACTAGTCCTCCAAGAATGGGAAATTGTTATGTCAGAGAGTTAAATGCTGTACTGCTTCTGATGATAATTGCTTCTTTCTTAGACAGCGCAAGGATGAACTAGAACAGAGAATGTCTGCTCTCCAGGAGAGCCGGCGAGAGCTAATGGTCCAGTTAGAAGGTCTCATGAAGCTACTAAAGGTAAGACAAGTCAAATAAATGTTTCCTAGACTTATTTACTATGTCATTTGTGAAAAATTTTTGCACATAATGTGCAGTGGTTTTTCCAATGACTCCATGTGTTTTCCCCCAAAATGTTGTTTCACACTCAGATGTAGAACCATTTCTTAGACCAATGAAACAGTAGCAGTCCATTTTAGAGTTTGATCTTACTCATTACCTGGTACCAGATGGCCAAGGGCCTTCATGGGGCAACTTCTTCATGGCTTATTTCCAGTTCTTTTGTGTTCTTGAAAGTAATAAAACTGGATTTATTTAGAGATATTTTGTATTTAATAACATTTGGTAATTCTGATTAAATTGAACAGAGGCTAATGTCAAATTCAGAAAAATTAAGATACAGCTATTAAATAATTTTGGTGCTAATAGTTTTATTAAGAAAATTGACTTTGTCGATTTCAGTAGAATATTTATCCCATCTGTGTGGCTTAAGCAGTAAGTCACATGATTTCTAGTGGTCTCAAATGCCATCTATAAATGAGACTATCTCCTTACTCTTCTGTAGCTATAGTGTTGAATATGACAATCTATAAGTCTTCTCTGGAGTGCTGTAATCTATTTTTCTCACTGGGAAGTAACATTCTTCTTTTAATAAAGCCTTATTCCCTTCTTCAATATACATTAAATTACATTTCAAGCCAAAAGCAGACAAATTATGACCATGTGTCCACAGTCAGACAAGTAGAAGTGTCAGAGCTGAGTGTAAACAAGCATGAACCAGCATGAATGGGAACTGCAACATGTCAAGGGCAGGAAATGAAACTTCTGATAGGAGAATGATGAAGTGACAGCTCACTTGTGAGAGGAGGTGTCCTGACTTTCAGCCCATGGGTCCTGTACATCCCCTACATACCTACATTTGTTGTTTTCGTTTTACCTACCCTTTCTCCCTCCCTCCCTTCCTTCCTTTCTTCTTTCCTTCTCTCCTTTTTCTTCTCTTTCTCCTTTCTTTTTCTTTCTTTCTTTTTCTTCTTTCTCTCCTTTTTCTGTTTGATTCTTTTTCTTTCATTCATTCTTTCTGTCTCTTTCCTTCTTTCTTTCATTTCTTCAGCAAGTGTTTCCTGTTTTGTTTTGTTTTGTTTAAGTAGGCTATGTCCCAGACCCTACTTTTTCTTTCATTTTTTTTACTGTGTTTTATTCCTTAGCTTTTTCCACCATCAGTGTCCTCTTTAACAGTGTTGGAAATGTTTATCTTCACACAACACAATTTACTTTTCTGTAGATTAGCCATGTAAAGTGTAACATTTAGTATTGGTTGTCTCATCTTGGACAAGACAGGACTAGATAATGAATAACCTACTGCTTTTTCTGGCCCGTTATCTCATTTGATAACCCAGAAAATCTCTTCCTGCTTCCATTTCCAAATATACCAAATGAAGAAGACTGAACCTATCTTTCCCTTCAGTGAATAAGAAGCTTTGAAAACTACCCCTTGTATGGCTTCTGTCTCCATAGGGATGAAATTTTCACTATGGGCTAGGCCATCTTGGCATCCATATAGCCCAACTAAGCACAGCCTTTGTATCAAGATGTGCAAACACCAGGATAAAGAGATAGATCATGTTGAAAGATGGTTGGACACACAGAGGACAGAGAGTCTCAAATAACTAAGTGGACTTGGAGCTGAGGTAGCAGAGGTCTGCACCTGCCATCATAGTTGTGTTGATGTTTCCCCTGTCTTGCGTTCCCTCACACTGTGTACATATTATTGGCATCCTGGGTAATCTAACTGTTATTGATTCAATCTTTCTGTAGGAAGAAGAACTGAAACAGGGAGTAAGTTTTGTCCCCTACTGCAGGTCTTAACTAACAGTGGAGGGGCCTGCCGACCTGCCGTTCTCTCAGTGCTTTTGCCTCTAATGTATGTTAATGCTTCAGTTTGGAAAGAGAAAAAAAAATCATACTAATTTGCTTCCTTTTCAATGTAGTGCTTGAATTTAGAGATATAAAATTTAGCATTTTTAAAAATAATCATCACTACTATCAACATCAAAAGAAAAGGTAATTACATCTTTTAGAAAGGGAACATGTTGTCATTTGTTGGAAACGTTTTAGGTCCCCAGGGGTATAAGTTTCAAACCAGTCTTATGCTTTTTAGGTTGTTGATTAGACCCTTCTCCTAAGTAGAAAGATGACTACCACAGTCACTAGAGGTACACTGAGCTTCACATCATCTCAAAACCCACAGCACTCAGAAGCTAACCTCCACCTCCCATGCTGTGACTATTCAGCTCAGGATCTGTTTTGCTGAAAAGGTGTGGAATCTCTTTTTATAAAAATCAGGCAATTAAATCTCTTTTCATCTCATGATTATTAAGTCCTGTTCTTCACTGCTCACTGGAAAGCACTCAATCTTGTGAAAGATTATACTCAGCAACTGATTCTTCACTGTCCATCTTTTTGGTTTTTCCCCAAAGCAGCATCCTTACTGTTGGTTAACAGTAATCTCTGAAGAATAGGTATTTTTTCAGCCTTTCTTTTAGTACCAAAAACCTTTCTGCACTGTGAGCTCAGGTCATTACATACATTTTTTTTTTTTTTTTTTTCTGGAAAGATGGGCATTGTGACTCTCTAACCGTAATCTAAACTGGAGCCTTTTCTAAACCTGTGGTCAGGTCCAGGAGCCAGCAGAGGGAGCAGCATACTAAAAAAAAATTAAATTAAATAGAAGCAAAATAAAATCAGCTTTAATTTCAACTGCATGTACCAAGTTGAGTATGACAATGTAGCCCATTCACTAGCATTATTTAAAACTTTCACATTATTTCCATGGATCAATTAGAACCACAGCCTGTTTAATTTCAACGTACCTTTTAATTCTTCTGTATGCTCTTTTCTATTATTCATTGTGTGTGTTTGTGTGTAACAAAGAATGTTTGCAAAATGCTGGACACATATTTACCTTTCATTTCCATCGTCTGTAAAAAAAGAAAGTGTAAAAAATCAATTGTAATGTCAGACAATAAAGAAAATGTATTACAGTATTTTGTATTTTGTGAAAAAAGTTACTTTACTAAAGTCAAATTTTAAGGAGAGACAGTTCCTCTGTGTGAAGGACACATGATATTTACAGCGTGTATAATTTCCCATCAATGCATACTTGGGGTGTTGCTATTGTATTTCCAGTGCACTTAGATCATGGTAGAGAAACATGCCTTTCTCACGGTATTTCTCTTTGCAGATGGCTTCTTTTCTTTCCTGTCTCTTCCTTAGCATGTGCTTAGAAAAAGGAAATAAGCCTCAAACATAGCCTTCTACCTCCTGGTGGAGACAGAGGGTATCGTGCCTTGGTTGGTCCGCTTTGCTTTAGCCATTTCCCTTGGAGATCCCTTCCCTACCATTTCCCAGGCAGCACATTTGTAAAAGGCTCCCATGGACCAGAAAGTTTGTAAGTAGGTGGATGCACAGAGCCAAACTCTGGCAGGACCCACTGTCCCCCCACTTTTCAACTCCTCCCCATGGAGCCCCTCAGCAAGGGTACCTCAGAGTAGGGACATAAGGGCCAGGAGTCCCTGCCATTCAGATGTCCACAATTCATTGTCTGGGTGGCGGGAGAATTTGCCTGTTTTACTTATTAATTTATTTGCTTTTATACCCAAGCCTCCTTCAGAAACCTGAGGGAGCTTACAACAAAAGACGTAAACAATGGCTTCGTAAAACTGAAATAGAAAAATCAACAACTAAAGAAAAGAAAATGTGAATATGCTAACCATAAGTCACAAAAGTGTTAGTCTGAGCTTTCTGGCAATGAAGCAAAAAAAGGAAATTATAATCTGTCATGTTGTCAGTACAGAAATACCACTTCTCAGGGGAACAAAACTTCTGTTGGCATAAAATATACAAGAAAGTCTTCACTTGGAGCTTTCTACAAGGAGTACAGGATAATAAGAAGGAAAAACGCAGTCCTGGATTTCATGTGGCTGTCTTTTATACTGACCTCCAGTCAAAATTGAAGATGGAACCTTATAAGTCCCAGCCCCATAGAGACAGTTCCACAGGGAAATAAATAAATGCCATCCAAATATATAGACTTCTCGTGGTATCACATGATCTAAGGAGAGAATTTAGAGGTTTTAGACTGGCATCTGCTTCTAAATTCTGTTTTTATTTATAAGCCTTTCCCCTTTGGGGATATCCTCTTTGTAAAACTAAACTTAAGACATCCCCACACAAAAAATTGTGCTTGATTTAAAAACCTCTATTTGCTTTATCGTAAGTCTGTGTGGTTCAATGTAGTGTTTTATTATACTGGTAAATATAATTTCTACTTACATTGTTTCTTGTTAGAGATAATGCATGAATTTATTCCTCTCAAGGAGAGAACATGAATTTTAAAAAAATAGTGCCTGTAATATAATGTGATGATTATGGTATCACAAGCAATAAATTTTTTTTTTTACAAACCTTGAATTGAAGTTATCCTACCCTCTTTCTTCTTTGTGTATCTAAGATTTATTGAAGGAACCATAAAAAGAACACTCATAAAAAGTTTAATAATGAAGGCAGCTGGTGTGTAATTGCAGTAACAATATGTTCCAGAGCTTCTGGTATGCCTCCAGTTTCAAATATTATGTACCAGTCTAAAATCAAACATCCTGACTTTGAGTCCAGAAAGTAAAATCTCCATATAATAATTTTCTTAGAATGGTTACTGGAGTTAGGCCTCAATTACAGTGGCCTCAGCTCTTTGCTCACAGCTGTAATATCTTGAGTAAGCTGATTAATTCCCTAGTAATTTATTTCAAACTACTGAGAATACATGGCTTATAGGATTGTTATATAGACTTGAAGTGATAGTAGATGCAAAAGCAGTTTGTAAAATGCTATATAAACACCAGAGATCAGTATGAATGTAAATATACACATATGAACAAGTATGTATAAACGTTTTTTTTGTTTTTTTTTTTTGAGTTGGAATCTCACTCTTGTCGCCCAGGTTGGAGTGCAGTGGTACGCTCACA